GCTATGTACACTGTTGCCAGCAGGGCAAATTCAAGTTTTCCTTTTTGGAAACTTCTGGACTATTTCCAAAATATTTTCAATCTCCAGTTGGTTGACCCTGGCTGTCTGTCTGTCTGGATATAGGAGATCCCTTGAGGCATGGTCAGCACGGCCAGGCCTGGGACTCAAGATCCCTGGAAAACTGCAACAACCCAACTCAGGCAAGACCTACTGCGTGACCAGGGCTGCAGGTGACAAGTTCTCTGAATCCCTGAGATTAACAGGAAGGACCTTCCCGCCGCCGCCTGCAGTGGCCTCCTGCCTGGCGATCTCTCCATGCCCTGAGGCCGCCTCTTGTGAGCCCTATCAGCACCATCAAGACTTCACAGTCCGGACGCGGTCAGGCGTCGTGCCAGGGTGATGACCAGTAGGGCCCTGAGGGCCCGACTTCCGTCTCCGCAAACAAGGAACACAAGCCCATCAGGTGATGAAGTCGAGTGCTGGGAACATGCAAGTCACAGCAGCAGGGTTTCTTATAAACACCACAATGTGTTCATGACTAAATCTGTTTTAAACACTCAGAATTTTTCTGCTGGAAAGTGGTGCAAACAGGAACCAGGAAGTGAGCATATGCCCAGCATCACACCTGACCCTGCAGGTATATAGAGGCTCCTGGCCCAGGAGGCCCCACACTGGGCACCTTCTCTCTCCACCTGCTCTTCTGACCTGCTCCACCCTCAACCCACCAGAACCATGGGCTGCTCTGGCTGTTCCGGAGGCTGCGGCTCCAGCTGCTGTGTGCCCGTCTGCTGCTGTGTGCCAGCCTGCTCCTGCTCCGGCTGTGGCAAAGGGGGCTGTGGCTCNCAAGGGGGGCTGCGGCTCCTGTGGGGGGTCTAAGGGGGGCTGCGGCTCCAGTTGCTGTGTGCCCGTCTGCTCCTGTGTGCCAGCCTGCTCCTGCTCCAGCTGCGGCAAAGGGGGCTGCGGCTCATGTGGGGGCTGTGGCTCGTGTGGGGGCTCCAAGGGGGGCTGTGGCTCCTGTGGGGGGTCTAAGGGGGGCTGTGGCTCCAGCTGCTGTGTGCCCGTCTGCTCCTGTGTGCCAGCCTGCTCCTGCTCCAGCTGCGGCAAAGGGGGGTGTGGCTCGTGTGGCTGCTCCCAGTCCAGCTGCTGCGTCCCCGTTTGTTGCTCCCAGTCCAGCTGCTGCAGGCCCTGCTGCTCCCAGTCCAGCTGCTGTGTCCCCGTGTGCTGCCAGCGCAAGATCTGATTCTTCAACACACACCCCAGTATATATCAGATGCCCTGGATGGAGATCAGTACTGGACCTCACAGCGCTGAATCCCAGCCCCGGCCTGCTGTTTTGGGAACGTGGGAGTGGGGGTGTTTATAGTAGAAAGAGCACACCCAGCACACCCTTGAGAGGGCCTGACCCCTGACCTCCCATCTGCTTCCTGTGAAAAGCCGCGACCGCAGCCCTCAGACGTCTCCCCTGAACTCACCGGCTTAATTCTCTGTCACGGGCTACAGATTCTAAGAATCCTTGCAATTCCTTTCAATAAACGTATCCCTTCCCCGCACACCTCCTGGTCTTATCGTGATTCTTTTCTCACTGTTTCTGGTGGTTTACCATTTCAACATCCCCCCTCTCCCTGGACTGTTGTCTCTTTTGGATTTCCTGAATCCCAACAGAGCATTCAACAACCCACTGCTCCAAGCAACCCAGCGTGCTCAGCACTGCGCAAGAAACGGGCTCAGGCGAGAACCCGGCACACACCCGCCAGAGACGGCTTGCTGCGGCGGGGAGAGGGGCAGCCCTCAGCGGGCTCGGGAGGGGGCGACAGGGACACCAAGAGAGGGACGGCGTGAAGGTCCGAGACCGGCTGTAGAGGGGGTGCGGGCCAGCCCCGGGTCTCGGTAACTTGGGGGTAAGAATTTTGAACACAATGACCGTTTGGATCTGCGGCAGGAGGCTGAGCGGTGGAGAGGCATGTGCATCAGAGAACTGAGAGCGACCCGAGTCCCCGCTCTTCAGTGTGGTTCCGCATAAGCGCCACTGGGTGGCGCTGGAGCTGCTGCAAGTGGTTCGCGTTTTTGCTTGAAAGGGATTTCTAGTTTCACGTCTTTAAAAAAAAAAAAAAAAAGAGCAGACGGGGAAATCCCACGCTTCCCATGCGCCTGAATCCTGGAGACGACCAGCCCTTCTGCTGAGAAGGAGCGAGGCTGCGGTGCAGACACTCACGTCTGCTCTTCAAGCTCAGAGAGAGGCGTGTGTGTGCGTGTGCGCGTGCGCTCACACGCACATCACAGGACGAGGGAGACGCCTCTGAACCGCGAGGTCTCAGAGCTCGGGGGCCACCATAGCCAGTCGTGTACCTGGAAGGCTCCTGACGCCGGGCTGGGGACCCCCAAGTGTGCACCCCGTCACGCCCGGTGCTGCTGCCAGCCGCTCTGCGCGTGTTCCCGCCGGGGCCTCGGGCTCCACTGCCGAGACCGACAAGTGCTAAGCGGAGACGCTGCAGACGCGGGCGCTGCTCTGTCCAGCTGTCTCCTCGTCGGCGCCGGAAACCGGCCACGTCCAGCCACAGAGAGAAGCCCGCTCAGCCTGGGGCCAGGGCGTGCGCACCGGGGCCGCAGCCTTCATCTCCCAACTCTTAGGTCGCGTCTGCCCGTTCCGGCCTTTGCTTTCTGGACCAGACTCTCCACTTGGGACAGGACCGTCTCCCAGGCTGGGGGCGGGGGGCAGATAAAGAGCACAGCGGGGTGGGAGGGGGGGGGGTCCGGTAAACAGCGTTTGGGCTCCGATGCTTGCCTGCAGAGCTGCTCAAGACCCGGCCGAGCCCCTGGGGTCCGGCCGCCGGGCAGGTGGGACTCTGACTGTCCTGCTGCTGTTGTGCTTGTTGTTCCGTCGCTAAGTCGTGTCTGACTCTGCAACCCCACGGGCTGCGGCACACCAGGCTCCCTCGTCCTTCACTATCTCCTGGAGTTTGCTCACACGCACGTCCATCGGGTCAGTGATGCCATCCAACCATCTCATCGTCTGCCACCCCCTTCTCGTTTCGTCTTCAGTCTTTCCCAGCATCAGGGCCTTTTCCAATGAGTTGGAGCTTCAGTTTCAATGAATAGTCAGGACTGATTTCCTTTAGGATTGAATGGCTTGATCTCCTTGCAGTCCAAGGGACTCTCAGGAGTCTTCTCCAGCACCACGGTTAGAAAGCACCAATTCTTCAGTGCTCAGCCTTCCTTATGACCCAACTCTCACATCCATGCATGCCCGCTGGAAAACCATAGCTTTGACTAGACGGACCTTTGTCGGCAAAGTGATGTCTCTGCTTTTGAATATGCTGTCTAGGTTTGTCATAGCTTTCCTTACAAGGAGCAGAGGTCTTTTAATCTTATGGCTGCAGTCACCATTGGCAGTGATTTTGGAGCCCCCCAAATAAAATCTGTCCACTTTCTCCCATCCTATTGGCCATGAAGTGATGGGACTGAATGCCACGATCTTGGTCTTTTTAATGTTGAATTCTAAGCCAGCTTTGTCCCTCTCTTCCTTTACCCTCATCAAGAGGCTCTTTAGTTCCTCTTTCCTTTCTGACTGTCCTGGGGAGACCAGACAAGACCAGCACGTGTGGCCAGCAGCATCATACGCTGCATCATTTAGGCCCTGGGTGAACTCAGACAACCCAGGTATTTTCTCTCTTTGCCTCTGTTAAGGCAGGTGCCCCCTTCTGGGTTTCTGCAGTTGGGTTTTGGACGTAAGCTGCCACCAGGCTTCCAGCCATGCCTTTCCAAACTCTGACCACCCAGACAATCTGCCGACCACTGCTCCCGAATCATAAATCCACCTCTTCTCTCCTACAAACAGCAGCTTAGTCAGACCCTGCAGGCTCTGCTCACGACTGGCTGCTCCCCACCACCTGCGGGGCCAGCCTATCCCCCAGGCTGTGAGCAGCAAACGTCCACTCAGGATGCTGAGCCTGGCACCGACCAGGCCACGAGGCTTCCTCCTCCACTAGCGGTCCCAGGAAATCCACTGGAAGCCATGTAGGGAAGGGAGAATCTGGTCACCCTGAAGTCTCTCTGGTGTGAGCATGCGGTAGTCAGGAGGCTCGGAAGAGGAGCTGGGAGAAGTCTGCAAGAGCGGGTCAAAGGGAGAGGGAGGAGCCACCAGCCAGATTCACGGCGCACAAGGTGCCCGGGGACTCAAGGGTAGACCCGGGTCTGGAAAGGGGCAGCACGCCCACCAGGAGAACGGCTGAGGTTCCTCTTGTTTGACCCGTAAAGAAAGTCTCTTCTGAGAACTGAAATGCATGGATAACCTCGGAGAATAAAGAGAGCATGAGGGATGCCTGTTTGTTTGTTTGTTTGTTTTTAAATTACATGGGATCAACCAAGATATGAACACTCTAGGACTTCCCTGGTGGTCCAGTGGTTAGGAAGCCGCCTGCCAGTACAGGGGACATAGGTTTGATCCCCGGCCCAGGAAGATGCCACATGCCGCCACAGGGCGATTAACCCGAGCACCACACTACTGAGCCTGTGATTCTAGAGCCCGCTCCACAGCAGGAGGGGCCACCACAGTGAGGAGCCCGCGCTCACCACAACTAGAGAAAGCCCACGTGCAGCAAGGAAGACCCAGCACGCAGGCACGCGCGCACACACACAGACACACACACACTCGACGCTCTAGAGAGTGGAATTGTGGGCAACTTGCCTGCTTCTCTACTTCTCCCATTTTGTTTAACTAAGACCTCATTTTTCTCTTGAGAGATAATTTAAGTATCTCTCTCTCTTTAGTCACTCAGTCATGTCCGACTCTTCAGTCGTGTCCGACTCTTGCGACCCCATGGACTGTAGCCCGCCAGGTTCCTCTGTCCATGGGATTCTCCAGGCAAGAATACTGGAGTGGGTTGCCATTTCCTTCTCCATTTGAGTATAATGCTATCTCAGTTTTGGGGATACAACTCTATGATTCGATATATATATATATTGTGAAATGATCACCACAGTGCATCTAGCAGCAGGCTCACCTTCTAATTACAATTTTCTTCTTGTGACCAGATCTTTAGGATCTCCTCTTTCGGCAACTCTGAAACATAGAATACAGTATCGTTAACTATTGTCTCCATGCTGTACGTTAGGTCCCCAGGACCTATTTACCTTCTAACTGGCATTTCTACCTTTTGACCCCTTCACCCACCTTGCCCACCCTTCACCCCCTGCCTCGGGCAACTCCAACCTCTCTATCTATGAACCTGCTAGGTTTGGGGGAGTTTTACATCCCACATTATCAGTGAGCTCACGCAGGATCTGTCTTTCTCCGTCTGACTTATTCCACTTAGCTGAATATCCTCTGAGTGTTCACTTGCCCCAGTGTCCGACTTTCTGTGACCCCATGGACTGTAGCCCGCCAGTCTCCTCGGGCCACGGGATCCTCCAGGCGAGAACACTGGAGTGGACTGCCATTTCCTTCTCCATGGGATCTTCCCGACCAGGGATCAAACCTGCGTCTCCTGCATCTCCTGCACTTCAGGCAGATTCTTAGCCGCTGAGCCACTGGGTAAGCCCCCACAATATCCTCTAGGTCTATCCATATTGTCCCAAAGGGCAGGACACCTTTCCTTCTTTTTATAGCTGAATAATATCCCATGATACACCACATCTTCTTTATCCATTCACCCTTAGTGGACATTTAGGTTGCTTCCATACCTTGACTAATGTAAATAATGCTGCAGCAAACATAGGGGTCCAGATGTCATTTCAAGTTAATGTTTTCATTTCTCTAAGATAAATATCCAGAAGTAGAATTGCTGCATCATATGCTAGCTCTATTTTTAATTTTTTGAGGAAACTCCATACTGTTTTCCACAGTGGGTGCACCAGTTTACAGCCCCATGACAGTGCATGAGGGTTCCCTTTTCTCCACATCCTCACCTTGCTATTTGTTGTCTCTCTGATAATAGCTGTTTGCAGGTGTGAGAGGATATCTCGTTCTGGTTTTGATTTGCATTTCTCTGATGGCTAGTGATGCTGAACATCTTTTCATGTGTCTGTTGGTCATCTGTATGTCTTCCTTGGGGGAAAAAAAGTCCATTCAGATACTTTGCCCGTTTTTTAAGCAAGTCGTTTGCCTGTTTTTTGTGTTTTTTTTTTCCCCACTATTGAGTGACATGAGTTCTTTGTACACTTTGAATATTAACCCTTTATCAAATAGGACTAATCAGATGAGTTACAAATATTTTCTCCCACTCGGCAGGTGGCCTTTTAACTTTGTTGATGGTTTGGTTTCCTTGGCTGTGCAGAAGCTTCTTAGTTTGATACAGTCCCGTTTGCTTACTTTTGCTTTTGTTTCCACTACGAACCTCAAGTTTTTAAAAATAAAATATTGAAGATGAATAATGGGGAGATTTTCAGTACAGAAAACAGATGTTGGGAAAGATCCCAGGACCCCCAGTTATATGTAGTGAACAGAAAACTGGAAACAGCACAAGCTGGAACTGTTCCTTTTTACAGGAAACAAACAAGATGGGGAAAAATCCAGACTTAGAAACCGAGGAGGGTGTCTGCTGGGAAAAGTCAACAGAAGCCCATGGGTTCCAGGCCCACAAACAAGAAACAGCTCAGACGGGAACCAGGAAGTGAGCACGTGCCCAGGTCACACCTGCCCCGGCAGGTATATAGAGGCTCCTGGCCCAGCAGGCCCCACACTGAGCACCTTCTCTCTCCACCTGCTCCTCTGACCTGCTCCACCCTCAACCCACCAGAACCATGGGCTGCTCTGGCTGTTCGGGAGGCTGCGGCTCCAGCTGCTGTGTGCCCGTCTGCTGCTGTGTGCCAGCCTGCTCCTGCCCCAGCTGTGGCAAAGGGGGTTGTGGCTCGTGTGGCTGCTCCCAGTCCAGCTGCTGCAAGCCCTGTTGCTCTCAGTCCAGCTGCTGCAGACCCTGCTGCTCCCAGTCCAGCTGCTGCAGACCCTGCTGCTCCCAGTCCAGCTGCTGCAGACCCTGCTGCTCCCAGTCCAGCTGCTGCAGACCCTGCTGCTCCCAGTCCAGCTGCTGCAGACCCTGCTGCTCCCAGTCCAGCTGCTGCAGACCCTGCTGCTCCCAGTCCAGCTGCTGCAGACCCTGCTGCTCCCAGTCCAGCTGCTGCAGACCCTGCTGCTCCCAGTCCAGCTGCTGCAGACCCTGCTGCTCCCAGTCCAGCTGCTGCAGACCCTGCTGCTCCCAGTCCAGCTGCTGCAGACCCTGCTGCTCCCAGTCCAGCTGCTGCAGACCCTGCTGCTCCCAGTCCAGCTGCTGCAGACCCTGCTGCTCCCAGTCCAGCTGCTGCAGACCCTGCTGCTCCCAGTCCAGCTGCTGCAGACCCTGCTGCTCCCAGTCCAGCTGCTGCAGACCCTGCTGCTCCCAGTCCAGCTGCTGCAGACCCTGCTGCTCCCAGTCCAGCTGCTGCAGACCCTGCTGCTCCCAGTCCAGCTGCTGCAGACCCTGCTGCTCCCAGTCCAGCTGCTGCAGACCCTGCTGCTCCCAGTCCAGCTGCTGCAGACCCTGCTGCTCCCAGTCCAGCTGCTGCAGACCCTGCTGCTCCCAGTCCAGCTGCTGCAGACCCTGCTGCTCCCAGTCCAGCTGCTGCAGACCCTGCTGCTCCCAGTCCAGCTGCTGCAGACCCTGCTGCTCCCAGTCCAGCTGCTGCAGACCCAGCTGCTCCCAGTCCAGCTGCTGCAGACCCAGCTGCTCCCAGTCCAGCTGCTGTGCCCCCGTGTGCTGCCAGTGCAAGATCTGAAGCTGTGTCCAGGGACCTCAAGTGGCTTCCAGAAACCCAGGAATCTAGGAAGTGACTGGTGCCCCATCCCAGATTAGCAAGTGGCGGTTTTGAATCCATCTTTTCTACAGTGGGGACCCCAACTCTCCAGTCCCAGCAGATTGCCTCCCAGATCCAGGAGAAGTCGGACCTCTGCGTGCCTTCTGTCCATTCTGGATCCTCCCTCCTCTGCCTCGAGGAAGTCATTTCCTTCCCAGTCTCCGCAATGTCTGCAGTCCCCACAGGCCCCTGATTCCCGGAGCCCATTGCCCCTCGTGCTTCGGACTTGGCCGACCTGGCCCATCCCACAAGGCCAACGTCCAGACCACAGACCCAGGAGGTGCCCCCCACTCCTTTCAGCCCTGCATCGGCTGGCCCAGCGCCACCCTTCAGCAGGATTCGCCTGTGCCTCCGTCACTAGCCACAGTCCAGTCTGGACCTGGTGATGGCTCTAAATAAACACATTCCCCTCTCAAGGATTCTGTCTCCATGATACTTCTTTATTTTTTTAATGTTCTTTTAAATTTCTTTGGCTCCACTGGGTCTTAGTCGCGGCAGTGGGATCTTTTAGTTTGAGCACATGAACTCAATTTCAGCACGTTGGGTCTAGTTCCCCAACCAGGGATCGAACCCAGGCCCCTCTGCATTGGGAGCACAGGGTACTAGCCATTGGAGCACCAGGAAAGTCCCCAAGATAATTCTTTAATGGACACTCTAATGAAGAATTCAAAAAACAACTGCGCATTGTTGATGGGAGTAAAAAACAGGTGCAATGTCTTTTTCTGAAGGTATTTTTGGCAATATTTACTATAATTTCACTGTTGCTGGCATTATTTTCCTTGCTTTGATGGCATTTTTAAACACAATTATTATAAGAATGAAACAGAAAATACAGCAGTTGCAAAAAAGAAAGCAAAATTATCATTATCTACAGATGTTTCCATTGTATACCTGGGGGGGAGGCGGTGAAAAAGTACTACAAAATGTAAGTGAACTTAAGTAGAAGACAGGGGACATAAACTGTGAGACCGATGGCCTTTCTACACACACAAAACAAACAAATATAATGAAAGAAAGGACTTCCTCCACTCCTTAAACGTGAACTCTATGAAAACCATTTCTAAAATCTGCATGAAAAAGCACTACTTCTAACAGTAAAAAATGGAAATTGTCCAGATGTCCATTAATAGAAAAGAAACCACCAGGCAGCAGTGGGAACCTCACAAACAAGATGCTGAGTAACAGAAATCAACAGGAAGGTGCACACTCTGACCATCTCCACATGAAGCTCATACACACACACACAGAACAGCCTAGGCTACACCACCCAGGACGGGGACGGGGCTCCTTGGGCGGCAAGTGGTTGGAAAGAGGACGGAAGAGTGCTCCTGGCATCTGGGGATGCTCTCTCTTTCTAGGTCTGGGCGTGCTGGGTACATGTGTGCTCAGCTGGTGAAAATCTGTCAAAGATGGGTCCTCATGTGTTTCACGCGGCTGGTGTGCACTGCAGGCTGGAACAGGGAAGAGCCTTTGCACTCTTACAAGTTCATTACTAAAGGCATGTTGCCTCTAAGCCTAAATGATACTTAGTGGCCCATCTTTGGAACACTTGCCTTGCAGGTTATGAGCATCAAGGTAAAATACCTTCACAGGAAACATGGTGACACTCTTCTCCATGAACTTATACTTCAATGAAAGTCTTTAAAAATCTATGTGAAGAAAGTTGTAATATACTGAGAGACATAAAAGAAGTCATGAGTAAAAGAATAGATAATTCTTTTTTTAATGGGAAGGGTTTTTTCATTTATATATTTTTATTTCAAAATGTTTATACCAGTACAGTGAAACTAAATTTTAGAGACAGTGGATATCATTAGTTTGGATATTGTTAATTTATTATAAAAGAGAAACATGGAAATTATTTACATGATGAAGACTTCAAAACTTCAGTGGAATGGGCAGCTTCATGTGATGCCATTTCAATAGTGACTTATTTCAGTCAACATACTTACCAAGAATGCCACAGTCTCTAAACAAGAAGTGACCCTTGTTGTCTATAACTACTCCGTGTGCTATGTGCTAAGTAAATTGTATCTTTACTTCATCTCTTGTGCTCAGTCACTTCAGTCGTGTCCGACTCTTCAAAACTCTATAGACTGTAGCCCACTAGGCTTCTCTGTGCATGGGATTCTCCAGGCAAGAATACTGGAGTGGGTTGCCATGCCCTCCTCCAGGGGATTGTCCCGACACACAGAATGAACTCGCATCTCCTGGGAGGAGAACTGTATTTCCAACTTGCCCCTTAACTGGTTGAATCTCTCCACTCTTTCCATTAGAGCCCCATCCAACAGCTACTACCATTGCCTGCAATGTTTTTCCTTGTGACTTTTCTGGAAGCCTCATGCCCCTTCGGTTGCAGTTTCAGTTGTCCTTCTTTCACCTAACACTCGGTCAAAGAGGGGAGGAAACTTTCTAAACGGCTGTCCTGCCGTGACTCCGGCTGCCGCAGTCCCCAGTCACGCTCTCACGCCTTGCTGCAGGGAGCAGGAAGTGTTAATATTTTAAGCAAGTCATTCTTTCTAAATTAATCTATATGTTGGATCTGAGTAAATATACCAAAAAGATATTTTAAGGAGCTATGCTGACTGGAACATTTACACAGGGAAAAAAAAGATATACATAAAAATAGCTAGGAAAATATTGAAAAGAAAGGAGTCCAGGACTGCCTGGTGGTCCGGTGGTTGAGAAAGCAGGGGACACAGGTTCGACCCCTGGTCTGGGAAGACCCCACACACCGCGGGGCAGCTAAGCCTGAACCTGGCAGCTACTGGAGCCTGAGTGCCTGGAGCCCACGCTCAGCAGTGAGAGAAGCCCGTGCACTGAGCGGCCCCAGCACCAACCAGGGAAAGCCCATGTGCAGCTACAAAACCCCAGCGGAGCCAAAAATAGAGAAAAGAAGTAGTTTTAGAAAGAATCCATTGCCTAAAAAGAAATGGAACCAGATAGCAAACCTACTAAAAAGTTATGAGCATTCAAACAACTCGAAACAAATGTAAAAATCCAACAAATAAAGGTAAAAGAACAGAACCAGCAAATATGTGTGAGAATTTTCTACATATAAAAGATACCATATTAAATTTGCTTAAAAGTAGAGTATTCCACAAATGGATGTTAAAACAACTATGCAGGGACTTCCCGGGTGGCTCAGTGGTAAAGAATCCAGCTGCCAACGCAGGAGATGCTGGTTCCATCCCTGGTCCGGGAAAATCATGCATGCAGCGGGGCAACGAAGCCCATGGGTCACAGCTACTGAGCCTGTGCTCTCGAGCCCGGGAGCCTCAAGTACTGAGGCCCACGAGCCACAAGTACTGAGGCCCAAGTGCCTAAAGCCCTGGCTCCACCGTAAGGAGCTCATGAACTGCAGCTAGAGCAGAGCCCGTGTGCAGCAAGAAAGACCCAGCATGGCCAAATAACTAAAACAACCATGGAGGATGCTAAAAAATCAAACTTCTTCCCCTACTTCATCTCTTGTGCTCAGCCACTTCAGTCATGTCTGAGTCTTTGCGACCCTGTAGACTGTAGCCCACCAAGCTCCTCCGTCCATGGGAGTCTCCGGACAAGAATACTGGAGTGGGTTGCCATGCCCTTCTCCAGGGCATCTTCCCTACCCAGGGATCGAACCTGGGTCTCCTGTGTCTTCTGCATCGCAGGCAGACTTCACCACTGAGCCACCAGGGAAACCCCACTTCATCTCTTACTCTAAAAATAAATCCCATACAGAATAAAGACTCAAATAAAAGATAAAAACACAAAATGACTAAAACAAAAGAGGAACTTTTAAAATAATATTGAGATACGATAGTTGTTTCTAACCATGACACAAAATTCAGCAGCTCACGAAAAGAAAAGATAGACAGGGGAATACATGTAAATCCATGGCTGATTCATGTCAATGTATGGCAAAAACCACTACAATATTGTAAAGTAACTAGCCTCCAACTAATAAAAACAAATGGAAAAAAAAAGAAAAAAAGATAAATTTGGCATTAAAGAAAAATAAACATATAAAAAGAAAAATCTGTATGGCAAAAAATAATAATAATAACAAGTGTCGACTGATAACTAACAAAGGACGGACTTCAGCCGGAAGGACGGCCGTCTGTCTGGCCTGCCGGGGGGGCGGGCACTGACTCGACTGATACTCTGGATCGGAAGCCGCAGAAAACAGACAGAACACACGGTGCATCTGAGCTGCCGTCCCGGGGCAGGCGCCAGGGGCTGAGATGATAAGCTGCTAAGAAGGGGCCGGGACAAACGCCCGGGAAAGCCAAGGCGATGCAAAGCTCACACACGAACCCAGAGAAGACCCCTCCCCAGAAAAGGTCTGAGAGATACCACCTCACCCCTGTCCGGAGGACCACTGTGACAAAGACAACAGAGAGCCGGTGCTGGCGAGGACGGGGAGAGCGGGGAAGCCTGGGCCCTGCCGGCGCGAAGGTCAGCCGGAGCCGCCCCTGCGGAGGAGAGCGGGAAGCCCCTCCAGGAAGTGAAACTCGGCCTGTCACGTGACCCAGCAACGTCACTTCCGGGCAGCTACCCAAAGAAAACAAAGACAATTCGAAAACACATACGACACCAATATTCACTGCAGTATTATTTACAACAGACAAAACATGAAACCTAAGTATCCATCAATAGATGAAGAAAGAAGAGGTGGGGTGTGTGTGTGTGTGTGTGTATATATATATATATATATATAAGCTTTCTTCTTAAGGACACTTCAGAACCAAATTCTGAACTGTATTCATTTTTGCATGAGCCCTCAAAAATATGTCAAAATGTAAAAGCACATGTGGCTCATTTATCCAATATTTTGAGATATTTGAAATATTCATGAAAATTCGACCACAATAAGTAAGAATGTGTGCAAAATAAACTGATAGTGAAATAAACCATATACAAACATGTCTCCAGGGCTGTACACACTGTTTAGAATGGAGAGCCTTGACTGGCTGCAAGAGTTGTATGTTGCTGCTGCCACAGAAATCTTACAAGCAGTGTGCAACATTTCCACCAACAGAAAACAACCCACCTGGGCCGGTATTCAGCAAAGGGGAAAACTCATGGACGCCGTAACCAGCCCGTGAGCAGCATCTGCGGTCGCAGCATCGCACAGTTAAGAGGAACAGTGTGCGCCCACTCCTCAGCACCACAGGTGCCCATGCAGAACACCAGGCCGTGTGCGGCTCCCCTAATCCCTGCAGGCAGTTCCCTCTTAACTTGCTGCGGAGTCTTCCACAATAGCTCACGTTTTTCTCCAAAGACTCTAAAGGTAACGATGGTTTGCTATGGTTAACCAGTAGAAGGCTGTGGAAGCCTCGCAACGTGGATTTGATGTTTTAAGTACTCTTGAATAGATTTTTAAAAATTCAGGAGAGAAATCTGAACACACACGATGTACCACAAGTGCACTCAAA